AGGGCCTCTGAAGGTCGCCGTTTGATCTAAGAAAACAAAAAGATTTAGAGAACAAACTGAAACACGACCAATTCATATCTTATTTACCAAAATTAAATGTTCTAACTCTCCCACAATTGTCTAACACTTTAAATACTATATACTGTCAGTCTGCCCCAGGGCAGCTGTGGCTACAACTGTAGCTTGCCTCCACCAGTGTGTGAATGGGTGGATGACTGGGTGTGTAAAGCGCTTTGGGGTCCCTAGGCGGGACTAGTAAAAGTGCTATACAAATACAGACCATTTACCATTTACTGATACATGTACACAAGTGAAAATGTTATAATTAATTTGATATCTTGCACACCTGTTTGAAGAAGGGATGGCCAACAAGACCGGTTGCAGATGGTCTGAAGAAATGCAATTGGGAAAACAGTTAGTGTCCCAGTCATAACACATTCCTAAAAGCAGTTGCAGTGCATTTATCGCATATATACTTTAAATATGCGGGGAGAGTTTCGCCAACCTTTTTTCTGGGTCTCGCTGTAGACACAGCTCAACGAAGGCGTGGAACTGTGGGGAGAACGTCCGGTTGTATGGGTGTCCTCCTGACGATGACGAGGGTTCACCGTTGGAGTGTCGGACTCCTCCCGGTCCCGGACCCTCACAGATCCCAGAGTCAGCACCAGAACGGGAAGGCTTCATGGACAGCTCCTCTGGTGGTATAGTTGTGGTATCCAGCAAGCATGGCACTGTCCCGTTTAGCTTCTCCAGTAGCATCTGTGGAAATGAGCTAGTATTAGTTTAACCCAATGACCTTCTTGCACACCTTACAGTTTGTGGTTTTAGCGTTCAGCTTTACCCCTAATCTTCAGTTTAGATCAAAATGAAAATAACACCAATTTTGTTGTTTACCATTAAATTACTTTCTACAGTCAAAATGTAACATAGGAGACTATTTAGGGCGTTGACACATCTCTGCTTACCTGTGTAGCTGGCATGTCTTTGAAGGGAACGTGTCCATTGGCTAGTTCACAGGCTGTGATGCCGAGGCTGTAGATGTCTGATCGAGAGTCATAGCCCTGGAGATTCTTCAAAGAAATCAAATAGAAACTGTCAGTTTCATCTGTACCCTTCTTCTCATTTTCGTTGTGCGTGTAACATGAAAACTATAGTTCTGCAGCCTCTAACACTGACTGCACAACAGCATTCACAGTGTTGAAAAATGTAGTACCTGTTGCAGCACTTCGGGACTAAGCCACGGCAGCACGTTAACGCTATACTGGGGGAAGTCGTGGACCACTTTGGC